CATAGACCTTCTATATAGGCAACGATGTGCTTAGATATGAATTGGAACATTTTTGCAAAAACGGAAGTGACACAGTTCAACATGTGCAAAAAGTCGAAAATCGGCTCTAGAAGGCGCATTTTTGCATCGATTTTTTTTCGGGTTTTCATTTTTACAATCTACCTGTAAATTCTAACCTGATAGCACTTGAAAAATTACAAAATTCGAAAATTCGTCGCTCACTTTTTTCGATCAAATTTTTCGATTTTTTTCCAACTTTTTTGCTTTTGCATCGATTGATCTGAAATTTTAAATGCAAAGAGAGTTACTTTAATGTTGATAATGTGGTACAGTCAAATTTTGTACGTCATTTCCGCTTTTAAACAGAATGAAGTATGATGAAGTATATCATTTGATATTTTGATCTAAATTACGACTTTTTAACGGCTAAATTTAAACAGACAATTAAGGAATATGTCATATGTTTCAATGATCTACAGACAAACTTGTACTAACGGTCACTTGTATTCAGAACTACCCTTCAATGAATAGCCACTCCCCCCCCCCCTCTGCAATTTTCAACCAAATTACATAGCCATTGAAAGAAGATCTCATAACATTTAAAATGTGCATCTTTTTCATTTTTATGCCTTTCACTTCATGAACGTCTCCCAGGATGCAACGCACTGCTTCAGTGACATTAGTCTTAAGGCTTTAGTTTCTAATTGTTTTTCTCGAGAGGGCATACGTAAACACAATGTTAAAATCTTAAATAAATAAGAACACTATTATGGAAAAACAACTCCTTTCTTCAATTTTAGAAACGTTTCAATTCACATACAGGAATCTTTATTGGAATTTTTTATGTAGAAACCTTGTAAATAATATTATCAATCTCGAAAAGTTGTTTCGTATCGTGTCATTTGGGAGTATAAAAATGTGGAGATGTCATAGTCGCAAGCATCTCATAGTGCGTCTGAGTGTCAAAAACAATTTCGCAAAATTGAATTGATTTGGTACATTCTGACACATATTTTGGGGCAAAAACCTATAAACTCATATTTTTAGATTTGTTAAAAAAAAAGTGGAGTATAATTGCGGTGCTATTGAGTCCTGCATTGTTTTCTTAAATGACAATATTTTCCTGACATTTCATCATTTTTAATTTAGAGCAAAAATGCTGAAAATTTGAATATAATATAGTTCAATCTAATAACAATTTGACAAAACTTTCGTTCCGTATTTTATTGGCTTTTATTTTTACTCTACTTAAGTGGTTGAGTAAAAATAAAACTACTAAAAATCCACTAGGAAAGGTTATGATTTTATTAGACTGACTGATATTGGGAGTCCCAAGTTTTGTTTCTTCAATAAAAGCTTCAACCTTGTTGTTTTAGAAATAGTGAATCCTTGTAAAAATAATGGAACAGTACTGTCTGATGGATCATGTAATTGTACAGAATATTTTGGTGGTACTTTTTGTGGTGAGTACAATTAATAAAGTTCCCTTACAGAAATTTCCGAATTAAACAGTTGAAACATAATTAAATTCAAATCGTATGACGATATTTGCTGTGTACGTCTTCACTAGTACGTCTTCATTATTTTTAGAGGAAATGCGATGTGAAATGCTTGAATACCAAGATTGTAAAAGTGAATGTAAGCGAGGACAAGACGAAATGAATGAGTATTGTGATGATGGTCTATTTTGTTGTTACTACGGTTGTAAGTATACACTTTAGAATTTTTATACAATTTTAAGACGACGACTAACATAGCGTGATTATACTTATTTTTCGGGAAAAGGAGGGCTAGATTCTCCCATATGTGTTTATATTAATCAGTTGCAATTACCAGGCTTCAACAAAACCGCACACGCACGCACACCGTGCACAGGCACATTTTGCCGTTTCAAAAATGTCTGTAGGCACAATTTTTGTTTTGTTTTTTTTTTTGCATCGTATACAAACACATTGATTAAGGAAAATCTGTGTAGCCATCGCCATGACGAAACAAGAGAATATCTATATTAAACTAAATGGATATTGAAATACGCTTCTAGGCATGTTTCCAAATTACTCAGTTTATATGATTATTACTTAGTTTGTGTTATATTTATTTGATTATTGAGAGATTCTTTTGTATAGTTATGACACCAGGTAAGTATATTGACGAACAAAGACCCATTTTAACCAAGTTTAAAAATTTCAATTTTTTGGTCATCCTAAGAGGTGTTTTAGCTTTAAGTTCTGATCTTTTGAATATTCGACAATCATCTTTTGTTCTGTGCCTGCAAATACTAAACTCAATTGATAATTTAGTTATACTTGACAATTCCAACTGTTCAAAAGTTGGTCGTTGTATGATTTGTAAAAACAAATGACACATGGACAAACAATCTTTAGAAGAAAATAGGAGAAATGAATACACGAGGTAAGGAACAAACACGGTGCGGGCACGATTCTATTCTACTATTTTCTACCGTATCGATAATCCCACACCTTAACGGACTGAGTCAAATATTAATACCCCGGTACTCACTTAAAGAGATGAGAAGAGATTGTTCAAACTTCATACACAGTTGAAAGAAATCAAAATTATGATTAATTGATGGTTGCTTAACTTCCTTTCCTTAACTTCACGGTGTATTGTTTTTTCTCTATTTAGAATAGAAATTAAAAAATGTTTTTATTTTTGTAGAAGTGAAGAAGCTACAGATGTCAGTTAGAAAAAAAAATTATTACAGACGTTGATGATCGAAATAAAATAGATGAATAAAAATGTTGTTTACATTATATTATATGATATCATATATAATGATAAAAATATCACCTTCATCTCTAGGTCTTAGTTGTCTGAATGCAGGAGTGGAAATACATTTCATAGACACCTTTACTATGGAGGTCAATTTGAACCATTAATCCATGCTCTATCGATTTGTCTAATACACTGATTCAAAGATAAATGTAATTGACTTTAGTTAAGTTACATGTGAATATAAACATTTGATTTAAGCATTTCAATCCTTATGTGAGTAGTTGGTAAGATACTTTACATTTGTCTTTGAATCATTGTATTAGACAAATCGGTACAGCATGGATTAATGGCGCAAATTGACTATACATCCCTTCACAAATCTCAATACTTTTTCATTGTAGGCAAAATATCCTGGAGAAAAACACCTTCCGGGTAATAGTTATACTGGTCCAAGTAATAGGTTAGATCTACGATTAGACGAAAACGATAAGATAAACCCAAACCAGGTGAAGAACCTGTCAATAGAGTTGACGCTGCCGCACTTAAACACGACATACTATACAGAAACAAAAACATAACATCCAGACACGAAGCAGACAAACAAATGATATACGAACTTCAAAAAATATTCCAAATCCAATTTTCAAAGAGAGAATGCAAAGGGCCCTAATCATAAAACTTTTATAAGCAAAGATGAAATTGGGAATGGGATTAGCAGATGAAATTAGAAAAACTAAAAATTTTTTAAAAGTTAAAGTAAAGATGAAATATGGTCAGCTGATTTAATTAATATGCCGGTCGAAAGAGGATATGAATATTGTTTAACAGTTATAGATTTGTATACAAGGTATACTTGGGTTATTCCTTTGAAAAACAAAACAGGATTATCAGTCAAACATGCTTTTGAAACGATCATGAAACAATCTAGCAGAAAACTACAGAAATTATGGGTCGATGCTGGAACATAGTTTTGTAACAGAAATGTGAAATCTCTGGGGTTTGAAATTTACAACACGCATAACGAAGGTAAAGCTGTAGTAATAGAAAGATTTAATAGGACTCTTAAAATCAAATTATTCAAGAAATACACAGAACTGAAATCTGAAAAATGGCTTAAAATATTACCAGTTGTTGTCGATGAATACAATAACAAAATGCAATAGTCTATAGATGTGACGCCAACACAAGCCTCGAGTAACCCGAATATCATAAAATCAATCAACACTCGAAACAACTTTGAAAACGGGATTAACAATTTAAATATTAAACCCAAATTCAAAGTTGGAGATCGCGTTCGTATTTTCAAATATAAAAGTAAATTCTAAAAAAGTTACGTTATATACTGGACAAACGAAATATTTATCGTTGATAAAGTAAACAGCACACACCTCCGACATATGAATTAATCGATCAAAACAAAGAACAAATCATATGTAAATTTTACTTAAAAAAACTGACTTTTAAAAATGAATAGTTTTCTCGATAAATATGGAACTGATACAACCACTAACTTTCAACGTATGAGATGGGCAAATGAGTTAAATTTATCACCGTTTTATTATTGTATGCGAGATGAAATAAATGATCTCAGGGATAAGAAAGGTAAATTTTAAGCTATAACAAATATACATACTTCGAATCAAAAAGAAGTTCATCACTCAAGACTCTTCGAATAAATTGTATTTCTTTGATTCTTTTGAATTAGAACCCACTGAAGAGATACTGAAATTAACTAATAAACCAATTAAATGTTCTACCTTTCAAATTCAAATACCAGGACAAAAGTTTTGTAGACAGCTTTTACTTTGGGTTTTACATCAGTTGAGTGTGGGAAAACAACAGTTTGAAGAAATTGTAATAAATTTATCTTAATAAAAATGGCGAACAAATTTGGATTAGGTTCTTTACCTTTAGATACTAAAAAACCTAACACTACAGCTTGGGTAAATAGAGCAAAACTTTACTTTGTGGATCAAATTGGAGACACTCTTCAAGGTGATTTAGATATGAACAATTTCAAAATAACTAATTTAAAGTCTGCAGAAAATGATAATGGTGCTGTTCACAAGAATTGTATATGGTATCAAATAAATTCAATTGAGGTAAATAAAATTTAGAAGATAAAGTAAGGAATGTGAAAAGATTCTTCAAACGTCAACTAAATAATAATTTTTGTATTAATGATACTAAACTACAGCAAGAGGTAGCAGGTTTAATAAGTTTTATTCAAAAACAATTGGTCAATGTAGTGAACAAAACTCAGTTATAAAATTTAATTTCATTTATATCTAAATTAGATAATAAGATTGCAAAACAAAAATTAGATATTAATAGATAATATCCAGGTGAAATTGAAGATACATTTCAGCAGGAATTAAATGATCTGGAAACTAAACTTAACCGTGAATTACAAAAAGAACTAACAAATATTAAACAACAAATACAAAATATTGATGATAGCGAAATTAAATCCTATATTCAACAACAAATACAAAACATTGATGATAGCGAAATCAACACCTATATTCAACAACAAATACAAAACATTGATGATAGTGAAATTAAAACCTATATTCAGCAACAAATACAAAACATTGATGATAGCGAAATCAAAACCTATATTCATCAACAAATACAGAACATTGATGATAGTGAAATTAAAACCTATATTCATCAACAAATACAAAACATTGATGATAGTGAAATTAAAACCTATATTCAACAACAAATACAAAATATTGATGATAGTGAAATTAAAACCTATATTCAGCAACAAATACAGAACATTGATGATAGCGAAATCAACACCTATATTCAACAACAAATACAAAATATTGATGATAGTGAAATTAAATCCTATATTCAACAACAAATACAAAATATTGATGATAGCGAAATCAACACCTATATTCAACAACAAATACAAAATATTGATGATAGTGTTATTCAACAACAGATAACCACTATTAATAACGAAGTTTTAAAACAGGAAAAAAATATAGCCGCATTAGAAAAGAATCTCAAGGAAGAAAATAAATCATATTATTTCAATCTTCCATTTGTAAATTTGATAGATAAAGATGCTTCTATTACTACTAATATTGACAAATCAAAAGAGTATGAATTGAAAAAATATGGATTTACAGCAAATATAAGAGCATTTTCTGTTACAGATATTGGTTATCCCCTACAAATTTTTGATGGTGGATATAATCATCCATCACATTTTTTTTTCGAGGAAAAATTCTAATGCAGGTAAAAGTTGATTCAATATTCTTCACACAAAACTCACAATCATCTCATCGTCAATTCACCGCTCGTAAAGTTCTTCAGTTTATCAATGGTACAGAAAATGTAGAAACTAAAGAATTAGAAATTAACTACGAAAACAGCAGAGTTAATCGCTTATATAAAATTAAAAAATATATTGGAAAATATATACAGTAATTTAAAGATTGGATCTAGTTTTCTATCTGCCATTTCTAGGGGGAAAATTTTAAATTTTTAACCCATCGCTAATTTAAAACTAATTTAATATTTTAAGGTAATTTTTAATACAGCGGAGTGTGGATGTTTAATAAAGACACTTTTTTGTAAGTAAGTAATTTTTATTAAAACAAAATAACAATTATAGGGAAATAATACATATAAATAAGTTCAACAATGTGTTAGCTATTGCCCTGTATAATCTACAACAATTAAAGGGAGGTAACAACTTTCACAATACTATATCCCTCAAGTTGAAGTATCATATAAACACATTTGTTACTATGTACTGATCTTAGCAACGTGTGGTGAAGTAAGAATAAACTCAACATGTTACATTCTATTAACAATTTAAAATAGAAATACACCAAAAGAGTTGGTATTCACTCAGGGTAAAATCAATAATCCATTGTATTGTCAGACATACCGAGAATGTAACTAACAAACACATTGGTTGTTAGGCGGCGATTTTAAAAGATCACCCCTTAGCAACGAGTAGTGAAGGAGGAATAAACATTGATTCAATAACCATAATGTTCTGTATAAGAAACTCTATGCTGTTGAAACAACAATCGATAATTAGACGTTGTATGTGAATAAAATCTATTGCACTTAGATAAATCGGATTGACATCATCTTGAACTGAAAAAAAAAAATTTGTTTTAACGAGGGAAACTATTCAGCACCCGTTTGTACGCCACCCGTCTATAAAAGACAGATAATTACATTTTAAAACGACTCTAAAATGTACATACCTGCGTCTGAAGTTTGAGAGCTTACTGACATTCTTTCCTCTGACATATTTCACCTGTAATTTTGTGTTAGACTAATGTCTCAAATAAAGCTTCAAACTCAATGTTAACACGTTATATATTTGATTAGATTCCTAGAAATGGCTTGTTGATTCCCTCATTTTAGAAACTAGATAAACAATAACTTGTTCTATTTGCCTGTAGTTAAAATTGACTTCACATTAGATATGCTCTTAGTAATCAATATAAACTTTCAATCCGACGCAGAATAAGTTTCCACGAATATTCAGGTTATACTATGAAATTACGTTTACAATAACTAAATTATGGTGTGTAAGGTTCATAATATATTGATCTGTAATAAAATACTTCGAATATGCGTATATTGATTTTGACTTATACAAGTTTAGTACTACACCAATTGACTAATGCATTTCAGAAGCTATTATGAATTTTTAATAATGTAATTATATAACATGGTTAAAGGGGAAACTAAGTCTGTCAAGCTTGATAAAACCAGACCACAACGGTTTTCTAAGATAAATAAATCATGTAAAAATAGCGGGAGGGGTAATATGTGATTTGAAGGTAATGGTGAAATATAAGGGATATATATGTGTAAATTATGATGGAAATAGATGGGTCTTTATATATTGAACGCACTTAGGCATAAATACGTGGAATGAAATGGAACGTTTTATGCCTATGTGCGTTCAATATATAAATACATATACTACTGAAAATAGACCGGATTTTTGCCTCTAGAGTTTCGCCAAATTGCAGGAAACAACTTTGACGTTCCCCGGTCCCCCAAAATCGATTTAAGCCAAAAAAGAGAAAAAAAAATTGGGGTCGAAATTTCAAAAATTTCCTGACCAAAACGATCAAAATTTGTCCGATTTTTAGCCTATTTTCGGGTTTTGAAGGACTTTTTAAAACCGCCATTGCAGGCCAGCCAGTTTCCACGAATATTCAGGTTATACTATGAAATTACGTTTACAATAACTAAATTATGGTGTGTAAGGTTCATAATATATTGATCTGTAATAAAATACTTCGAATATGCGTATATTGATTTTGACTTATACAAGTTTAGTACTACACCAATTGACTAATGCATTTCAGAAGCTATTATGAATTTTTAATAATGTAATTATATAACATGGTTAAAGGGGAAACTAAGTCTGTCAAGCTTGATAAAACCAGACCACAACGGTTTTCTAAGATAAATAAATCATGTAAAAATAGCGGGAGGGGTAATATGTGATTTGAAGGTAATGGTGAAATATAAGGGATATATATGTGTAAATTATGATGGAAATAGATGGGTCTTTATATATTGAACGCACTTAGGCATAAATACGTGGAATGAAATGGAACGTTTTATGCCTATGTGCGTTCAATATATAAATACATATACTACTGAAAATAGACCGGATTTTTGCCTCTAGTTTTTCGCCAAATTGCAGGAAACAACTTTGACGTTCCCCGGTCCCCCAAAATCGATTTAAGCCAAAAAAGAGAAAAAATTTGGGGTCGAAATTTCAAAAATTTCCTGACCAAAACGATCAAAATTTGTCCGATTTTAGCCTA